TCTGAAACTAGAACAATACAATTCTATGTTACTCCTTTTGTTAATGTAAAATTATCAACAGACTACAAAATTAATGTAGTAATAATGTAGGCAAGTCACCTTTCTATGGATCAGAACCAATAGCCATGTAAACATTCTAACAGAACCTGGAGTTTTATAGAAACCCACAGTGCTCAAAAATTCTACTGCCAGGATCATACCTGTTAGGTTACTTGCTTAGTTTCAGAATACACTTATTGAGATGTAAATGTTTACAGGAAGAAAGAATTATATATATATATATATATACACACACACATATATATATATATATACACATATATATATATATACATATATATGAGAGAATTGGTTAATAATATATTTTTTAAAGATTTGTTTATGCATACAAGAACTGGTATGCAGACAGAGGTGTGGAGGGTAAGAAGGTTCACCAGAGACAGGGTGGTGAGCAGAACAGGCAGACTGACTGAAATACACTGCTGAGGGGAGCAACGGACAGGTCAGGAGAGGTGTGCCATGCCATGTGGGTCACCTCCCGGGACAGGCATTGAACTTGTGTTGCAGCGGCTGTGGATCACTTCATAGTGCTGTGCTTTAATCCACTGCACCACCAGGAAGGACCCAGTTATTAACATTTTAAAGTTTAAAGACCAGAATGTACTCAGTAAAAATTGGTGATTAAGAATAAGATTATATTGATTCCTTAAAACAACATAGTTTATATTACAATCAAGTATTAAAGGGCTTATATATGCAAAGTACTGAATTATTTTTAATTAAAGTAGACTTGCCTCTAAAATATGACCAACTCTAGGTAATGAACACCCATCAGCCTGGATCACTGTTACCTGAAGGGGAGTCTGTGACAGAATGTTGGAAGAGCTAGCAGAAGACTAAAAACAGAAAAACAATGGCACTTTGTATAAACTGAGGCAAAATTTAAACATTTTAATTCAGGTAACTAAAGTATTACCTGAGAAATACCTAGTACATACTTATGTTTGACAAGCAGTTACTTATATTTGATTTGATAACCTTGTAGTAGTAGATAACACATGGTCAGTGGCAGAGTTTTGCACTCATTCAAAAAATAACTGCACAAAATTTTATAGGAGTGTAAAGAAGGTATCAGGGGGATTTTACAGTCACTTATTAACCCAGTGAGAAAATTTACAGAATGCAAACACTAGTTGAGATTATATTTAAATTCAAAATAACACTGTTTGGAAATGACACATGAAGCTTTTTTAATTGTTTTTAAAATGTTTTATGATTTGAACATGACAGCATTAAAATACATTACAAAATTATACCTAATAGGAATAATATTCCATAAAGTTTGATATTGATACTCTTACCTTAGATTGGTCAAAAATTTGAAGCTTTTCCCATACTATTTGATCACTTTCAGGTTTTCTCCTGATATTATTGCATTTTTCTGAAGCTTCTTTTTCTTTCTTCTTTAAAGCAACCTGTTCATCTGCAAATAATGTCCTTTTTTAAAAAAAGGTACAAAACTAAAAAACAAATCAAGTAAACAAAAGACCTTAAAGAGTGTAGATTTCAACATAGATCTAATAAAAAAAATGGTTTTTTTAGGAACAAGATTGATTCACAGAACAGGGAAAAATTTTAAGAAATAATAAAACATTTGCTTAGAATCAGACTTATGGCATAAATGGATATAAAAATGCTTGTTTTAGACATCCCACTGATTGGGAAAAACTTTTCTCACACAATACTAAAAATATTGATCACAATGATATACAAAGAACTCATGAAACTCAACAAAAATAAACAACCCCATCAGAAAATGGGCAGAAGAACTAAAAAGACACTTCTCTAAAGAGGAAATGCAAATGGCCAACAAATATGAAAAAACGTTCAGCATCACTTGTAATAAGGGAGATGCAAATTAAAACCACAATGAGATACCTGCTCACACCAATGAGAATGGCACATCTTAAAATAACTAGCAACAACAAATGTTCTTGAGGATGTGGAGAAAAGGGAACTCTCCTACACTGCTGGTGAGAGTGCAAACTAGTACAACCACTATGGAAAACTACTTGGAGGTTCCTCAAACTGCTAAAAATGGATATGACCCAGCAATCCCAAACCAAGGTATCTATCCAAAAGCCACAAAAACACTGATTCAAAAAGACACCTGAACCCCCATGTTTACTGCTGCTTTATTTACAATAGGAAAGAAATGGAATCAACCCAATGCCCAAAAATGACTGGATAAAAAAACAAAAAAGTGTGGTGTATATATACACAATGGAATATTACTCAGCAATCAAAAAAGATAAACACATGCCTTTTGCAGCAACATGGATGGAGCTGGAAGGGATCAAGATCATGCTTAGTAAAATAAGCCAGAAGAAATACTGGATGGTTTTCACTCATAGCAGGAGCATAAAGAAGTGGGGGGCGGGGAGGGAGAAAAAAAAACCAAAAAACTATGTATCAGAGACGTTTTATGGGGGTGGAATAGGGAATGGAATCAAAAATAGGGGTGGGGGGAGTGCATGGGAGTATGGTGATGACATACGGGTGAACTGGTGATGGGAAGCCCACGGAGATTACAACTGAGATGGAAAAAGGCACAAAATGATGTAAAAATAAACTATTAGAATAATAAAAAATAACTAGGCCTTAAATCAATAGAACTTAAAAATTCAGATGTATGAAATTTAAATTCCAAGACAATGAATGAAAGTTTAATTTCAACATTCAACAAAGAATGATGTGGTTTTCTAATACAACCAGGTTAAAAAAAAATGCTTTTCAAAAAAGTAATTAAAACACTTTAGTCATTTCCAAGTAATCCAACTTACTTCAGAAGTTTTGCTGCTATATTCTGGTAAAGTAAATCTGTGTTGAAAAATATTTAGGGCTTCCTTGGTGGTATCAGTATTAACAATGACTCAATTCCTGGCCAGAGAGCTAATCCACATATGGCACAGCAACACCTCTCTTGTCTTACCCTTTGCTCCCCTCAACAGAGTAGTTGAGTCAATCCACCTGTTCTGCTTTCTACTCTCACTAGTGAATCCTCTCACCCCTTGCACCTATGGCCTTAACCCCAGATCTTCTATAAATAATATATCTTAAAAATATATGTAATTGTTGGCGAGGATGTGGAGAAAAAGGAACTCTCCTGCATTGCTGGTGGGAATGCAAACTAGTACATCCACTATGGAAAACTGTTTGGAGGTTCCTCAAACTGCTAAACATGGAGCTTCCGTATGACCCAGCAATCCC